GCTAGCCTTCTAATGGTTCTAGCTAGCATTCTGTTGCTTGTAGCTAGCATTTTCTTTGCTTCGGCCTTTTGCTGCTTGTGGCTAGCCTTTTGGTTCTTCATTTTTTTCAACTTCTAGCTAGCCTTTTTCTGGTTTTAGTTAGCCTGTTATCAGTTTTTGTTACTTCTAGAGTTCTGTCAATTCTAAATTGATTTTTGTTGCATTTTACCAGCATTTCTAGTTTTGTGCCACTGTTAGCCTTTAGCTTCATTTGTCATTTAGCTAGCRTTTTGCATCTTTTAGCTTTACCAACTCAGTGTCAGCTTCAACAGTCCTTCRGAAAATCAAACATATATAGTCAGTTTAATTTGTTTACACCCTGCAGTGAGAATGTGAGCACACATTTTAAGTTTTGTCCTTTAATCTGCTGGAATAAAAAAAAAAAACAAGCCCTGAAGTCACATTTCCTTCACAGGCAAGACCAGTCCTGTCCTCCCTGCATTCTTCATTTCAACATCCACGAATCACAGCTGTGGGCAAGAATCAACAAGAGGCTCTTAGGTTCTGGTTAACCAATGTGGCCCGCTTTAAGATGTCCTGGACTTACTGGGTCCAGAACCACAGCTTACACAGTCCATAATGTAGTCTGACCACACCAGAGTCCTGCTCAGGGATGCCTTTAAGAGATGAGCAGGGTTTAYGGAGCGTGTTCTCCCCTTAGAGTCAGTCAGACTCAATTATTTTAGCTGTAATTCAAAAAYAAAACAAATCACAGCCTAAATCCAGATGTCCTTACTGCCTGCAGCCTAAAGGTGTGTTTGTCAGCAAAATAYCTCTAAACCCACTTCAAGATGGCCGCCACACTTAAAAAACATAAAAAATGGCAACAACTTACTCAGTTTTTCCAGCTCAGGTTTTCATGTGGTRGTTAACAGAAACTTTGACCAATTAAAATATAAACCTTTCCAGTTAACTCTGTTAGCAAAATATCTCAGAAAGTACAGGATGGGTTTTGAGGAAACCTAAAAGAATCATTTGATGTTCATTCATAAATAAATAACTTCTGGTGCCAACTTATAAAACAATTAAACTCCTCAACTATTAGTCTCATAAAAAATTCTAATACTTAGGAAGTAAAATTTCAAAATAAAAGCCTGACTACAGTAATGAAAAGTGGGTCAAATCTTTTAGCCTAAATGTGAACAAAACTAAAACGAGTTTATTAAAACTCAAGTGATTTTTATAAGCAAAAACTGTGTTTAAATGGGATTTCCAAAACTATCTTAATGCTAACACWGACGCATTAACAGACATTTTCGGTCGTTAATTGGCTACTTTAACGTTATTTTTTCGCCCTAAACCCAAATTAAGATGATCTGAAAGACTTAATTTTATATAAGAACATGGATTTGTGAAGTTGTWTTGTTTTTAATCCGTTTTAAATGTTTGTGGAAATTAACCGTCTTGACTTTCGGCCGCTGAAAGTCGTCATCCACACCCAAAGTTTGTGCCTGAGGACAAGTATTCTGCTGTTCTCATTGTTTCCTGTCATTTTATCACAACATGCTTAAAAAGGTAGAAAACTCACCTTAAGATGGGGATTTATGCGGGTTCAGAGTGACATAAGGTCCAGAAAATGTCCGCTAAGTAACGGAATAAAAAAAGCTAAAAGGAGCTAAAAGGGTCCGCTTTGTTTGACCGATGAAGCTGGACAGATTTTAATACATCAAATATACGGTTAAAACACGGGAGGAGATAAACGCCTCCTCGTTTSGATTCTGGATGTTAGAAATCAAATTCGCCTCGGAGGATCCGCGGGCTGGTCGGAACCCGATCACAACTCAGTCTTGAATCCGATGGAGGATCAGCCTTTTCATGCCTCGCTTCAACAAACCTCTATTCTCTCATTCGGGCTCCGCCCACACGGGCAGAGCTGCGGCGCGCAGTTGCGGAGAGAACAAACGCACCCAATGACTTCAATGGCAGAATGGAATGCGGAAGTCACGTGGTTCTTGAGCGCAGTTCATTGGTGTTTCTAAGGTAAGTTGACGGAAATACAACATTTTTTGCCATTGTG